ACAGCCTAATTTTTATTTTTGGGTGAACTAACCCTTTAAGCTTGTATTTCTAACTGTTAAAAAAACAGGGCTGTCAATAGAATAAATACACTACCGTTCAAAAGTTTGGGGTCGGTAAAATGTTTTAATATTTTTGAACAAAGTCTCTTATGATCAGCAAGGCTGCATTTTTTTGTTTTAATCATATCATTACAATTGAAAATAACTGTCTTCTATTTTTTTAATATAATTTTAAATGTAATTTATTCCTGTGATGGCAAAGCTGATCATTTAGCAGCCATCACTCCTGTCTTCAGTGTCAAATGATCCTTCAGAATTGTTAATGTTGAAAACAACTCTGCTGCTTAATATTTTTTTGGAAATAATGACACACTTTTTTGTTCTTTGATGAATAGAAAGAATAGAACAGCATTTATTTGAATTAGATTTTTTTGTAACAATGTAAAAGTCTTTACTGTCACTTTTGATTTGACCGGTAGTGTATATAATATTGAAAATGACAATAAAACTTGATTAATATAAAATCGAAATAAGATCGAAATCATAATAATGTAAATCATAATAATAAAATAAAAAAATTATAAGAATTATATTCCTCTTAATTTCTGTGGATCACCTTGCAATCTCCTTCTCTGTATTTCTGTACATTTCTGTTTCAAGCCTGTAAACCATATGTCAATTTTAGTTCTAGATGTTTTACACAAAGAGTACAATTACTTGTTTTGTTGAACTACAGTTTGCCAAAGCATACCGATAATAAACACATAATTAGACAAAAATGTCAAGATGTTGCTTTTAGCACCCTTCACCTTTTTATCTGAAACCACATACAGGCTTGTCTACAGATATTGGCTGATGCAGTAAACCACTGACATGTTAAGATCATCACAGAGGTATCCTCAGCAAATTAATAACACTGCTTTCCAAAAATCAGAAATGCAACTGGCAGTAGCATATTCCATGAAAGCTTTGGGGCCTTTTACAAAGTCTCCCACTCAGTAAAGAACACCATAGCAACAACATCAGGGTCCATTTGCTTAATGGCTCTGCATTCCACAGTGAAACAAGCTCATTTCCCTAACTACAACAATTCTTTATACAACCGAGGACGTATCCGCCCCAAGAGTTTAAAGTTACAGTATGAAGCATGAACACTGAAAACAGCAGCAAATCTTTTACCACAACTCAAGCAACTCCTACATCCTCACAGACATGTGGTTGCAAGCAATTCATCTGTTCATTAAAAACATCATTGCTTGTATGACAGTTTTAGGGTATTGTTTCAATGCACTATTTACTGTTTGGCATACTGTGAGAAATTCTTTTGCTTCTGGATGATTTGGTTTGTGGAATGTGGTTTGGGACCCTTCAAAATGAGAAAACAACAACATGCTGCAGGCTTCTTCTTGAGAGTTATGTTATGAAAAGATACAATCATAATCAGTATATAAGAACTTTACACTGGAATTTTTTATGGATATGTGACAGAAAAAACAAGGAATCAAAAAAGCCAGAGGCTTTATGTTTCATCAAAAAGGAGAAAACAAACTCACCGTGTAGCGTATCTGCTATGAGAGTCATCCACACACATTTACATAACTAGCACATACACACATTTTTTGTTGTTGACTGTTGTCACACCCTTCATTCATTTTATGCAGAGTGAATTTTAAGATATAGAGTATAAATGTGAGGTTATCAAATACAAGTTTAGAAATCGATAACCATAAGAATACATTTGATGGAAGTAAATTAAATGAATTTATTAGTTTAGTAGCAATAGAGATGTAGGATTGGCTCTTACCATCTCCATTTTAAGTTTTCGGATCTTCTCATCCAGGCCCTTCTTCTCAGTCTCATTATTGTCAGTCTGATGGTGAGAGATCATTTTGTGCTCCTCTCTCATCCACTTCAAGAGCCCCTCTGGGGTCTTTCTCCCCACTTTCAACTCCAGATCCTTTAAATCTGGGACTGATTCACATGTAGTGCTCTCCTCCATGATTATAAAAATGATCTATTTAAAAGAAAAGAGGGAAAAAAGAAAGGAAATGCTTATTGCTCTGGATTAAAAAATGTAGCTCCTTGACTAAGTTATGATTAGCATTGATATACAGTATTATGCCAAAAAAAAAATCTTACGCAACACCCTGTGATTATTTGTAAAGATATGACAGTCATCCAATGTCTCATCCAAAATAAAATAAAATAAAACAACAACAACTGAGCTGAGCGCATCATCACACATGAGAGTGACATACCTGATTAGTATTCTAAACATTCACACGACTGTTTTCTTTCCCAAATGCAGCCTATGTGATCTGCTTCAGTGGGAAAGACAGACCACCTGAGCATGATGCGAGTCTCTCTGAAGATTCGTCGTTCAAATGTATCCGATCTGCGCGCTGTTCAAACTCCTCGGCTGTGCTGGTGATGCCGTGACCGTGATGAGGTCAACTGTGGATGTGATGCTCGGAGCTGAAGTCAGGTTTGGACAGGAGCTCTCTTCAAACTGAATGTCTGTCCTGATGTGCTTGAATCACACGGCAGGACTGAATTCCACCTGCATGACAGCGAGCGGAGCGCAGAAGTTCACTGCCGTAAATAACGGAGTAAACGCGACCGACGAAATGAGCAATTCACTCCCACAAGTTAAATAGGTCTACTTTATAAAACAGACCTTGTTATACCTATATATCACAGGCAATTGTAATTAATCGTGGTTACACTTTATTTAAGGTGTTCTTGTTACAGTGTAATTATACATTTAAGTACTGAGTAATATAAATTAACAACATGTAGCTACTTGGTTAGGGTTAGTTGCATGTAATTATGAATAATTTACAGTTATTAATATAGTAAGCACATGTAACAAGGACACTGTAAAGTCAGAACAGTAAATGGTGAGTTGTCACTATGTTTCCATACTAATGAAAAAAAGTTGTGGTCTGTGGTCCATATTACCAAATGGCTGATATGCTTAGTTTTGTGTGTAGTTACATATAGAAATTAAATGCAGATTTAGACAAGAATTATGAGTCCTTATTCTGTCCTGTGTCTGGCTTATGTTCTCTCAGGGCCAAGACCATGTCAAGATGACAGCATTAAACATCTGCTGGCTGCACAAGGAGGATCCCCCTCTGTTATAATCATCATGGACAAAAACAGAACAGGAACGTGAGGAGAACAATCTCACACAACAGACCCATATTTCCAGTCTGAGGTAAAGTGTCACTGTTCATTCATGTACTTTAAAATGGGAGCTTAATATATAGCACTGACTCCACCTTGAAAGTTCTTTTGTCATGATATGAACCTATTACCAGCCAGATGGTAATATGTAAATATTTAAAAATTAAAATGACATCTAGGCTATATGCATCTGCTTAAAGATACTGTGTCATGGCTCTGAAGATATTTTTGACAAAGACGATGAACAACATTGGGAAATTAATTTTTATCAACCTGACACTGTTTTCATGTATGGATTACTTGGATGATGCAAAAAGATTTTTCCATGATCTAAGACCCACAATTCCTATGCATGTCACTGTTGTCTCTTTAGTGTTCTCTATATTTAAAGAAAGGATTCATCCTAGTGGTCATGATGGAAATTGCACCTAAAAAGAAAATCAACTGACTTATTAAAACTGAGACTTTTATGTAGAATTGCTTAAAAAGATCAAGATAATTTTTTCATATATTAAAAAAATTACTCATTGTGACATATTAATAAATCTTTCACCGAAAGCATCATAAACCTGCTTAATACGGTATACAGTTTATGTATGTCATTCACAAATAACATGTAAATTACTTTAAAATGAATATATATATATATATATATATATAAACCCTTTAAGGTCTAATGACAACAGGAGGAGGTGAAGTTTACAGTTCTGATAATAATTATTCAGATCTGAGAGCACTCAAACCAGTTCAGATCAACTCAGCACTCAGAGAATTATGAAAAGGGAAATCTTTATCAAAATGCTCATCAGAACACATGAACTTCCTCATGTCTGGTGACATTTGTCTTACTCCTAAGAACTTTTTTCACTCAAACACAGATCAGGAAGCTGTGAAATAACAACAGAGTTACACAGTGCATTTTAAATGTTATCTTACATGCAGAGGATTGCATGATTTCTTTCACAACTGGCAGTATTTAAAGTGGTGTTCTGTTTGGCCAATTCACGGCTATGGCAAACCCTACATGATACCAAGGTGTGTCACTCAAATTCAGAATGTAAGACTCATTCTTTACACAGTTCCTGAAGCAAACACCCATGTTGTCCTTTGAAATTACCATAGTTCATGTAAAAACCACAGTGTCGGGGTGGAGAAACCTGTTACAGGAAGCAAGAAAGCACACGTTTACCATCTTTCCTTACTCATGTCTCATTTCTCCTCCTCTTCAAACCTGTATTTCTTGTCCCACATATAAGTTGTTCTGTCTTAGTCAGGCATTGTCAGTAAGTGTGTGGGGACAATGGAGGACAGCACAGAAGAAGACATTGAGTCTCTGATTGAGGGGATGGCCTACATCCCTGGCCACTTTCATTTGGAGCTGAATTTGAACGGTGAACCCAATGGACCAGTCACCCTTCGGCACCGGGACACCCAGCTCAAACGCGAGAGCCTCAGGGCTGAGCTTGAAGCTGAGACAGGACGTCTGCAGTATGCTGTGCGTAATATACTGGGCCTGTTGGCCTTCCATGTAGACGAACTGGAGACGGCAGAAGAGGCCTTTCGCAGCATCTGCCAAGAGGATCCAGAAAACCTCAATGCCTGGGCCAACCTGGGTTACGCATATGAACGCCTGGGCCGCGAGCTGGAGGAGGGGGAGTGCATGGAACGTGTGGCTGCCCTTATGGGCCCAGAGATGGGGGAGAACCAGACAGACTGCAGGCTCAGGGTAGCACGGTGCTTGGCTGAACAGGCGTACACACATCCTCATGATGTGGAGCTGGAGAGAGACGAAGATTTACAAGAGAGACTGACAGCCGCGCTGATGTTATACAACCGCGCACTCGATTATGGAGAGGAACTGGTGAGCACACCACATATTCTTATGTACAATACAGTACATACAGTATCATTACATTTTTGGGATAGTCATACCATATGATATAACATATACTAAACTTGGCTTGTTATAAAAAGGTCAAATTATCTAATATTTTATGAGAATATCAGATAATTATTAAAATGAGTATTAAAAATGATAAGTATTAAAAAGGAATAAATATTAATAACTTATTAAAACAGTACATTGGACCCTATTTTAAAAGACTTTTTTCAATGTGTAGTTAACTTTGTTCTGTTCTTTTATTTCTGACAGATACCAATAGAGGAAAAAAGAAGTTGGTATTTCAAAATGGCAACAATTTACATAAGGTATTTACATAAGGATTTTTGACATTTACCTGTTAACATCATCAAACATCTTACTGCCTATCTAAGCATTTGAGGCAACTCAGACATTGCTTATAATGAACTGAAACGATAATAGACTTATCATAACCTTTGTTTGTTTGTTTTAATAGGTTAGATGGAATTGTAAGGGATTCGATAGACATTGACCTCACAAGACTGAACTATTTCAACAAGGGCCTCAAGCTTCTCACAGAGACTCTAAAATCGGACAACACACATCTCAAAGGTACTTTTCATAGAGTAGATATGATAAAGATGTTTAATAAAGCAATAAACACAGTCAGCCCCCATGTTCATATAGATAATACCATAGATCAAGGACTGATTATAGTCTTCAGAGGCACCCAGTTGCGAGATCCAGTGTCCAAACAATGCAATTGTGTGGCAAATATTGGATATGAAGTTCCAAATGTGATATATATGTTTATATTTTCATAATTGCATTTGTGTAATACAAAAATATGAAGCTTTGTGGCCACGAATTAAGAATTTATTCTTACAATTTTACATTTTATTAATTAGTTCCCTCGTTTTAGTTAAATCATCCCTACAACTTATTAATTTCTTCCTGCATTTTAGGTAAATCGTTGCCATGTTGTACTAATTGTGTGCCTTGTTTTTAATATACCTAAACCATGGCCACAATTTAAATAAAATGGGGGAACAAATTTGTACAATGTGGCCACAAATTACCAAAAAATGAGGGAATGAATTAATACATTTAGGGAACAAATTTGTGGGAATATGGGAATAGATGATTAATTTGTCATGTGGGGCTTCATACAAAAGAGACTAGTATGCATCAAAACTGCAAAAATATATTCACTGGCAAACATTCATGTTCTTTTTTGTCTGTCTATAATATTGTTACATTTACTTTACTCTCACCTTGAGGGCCCTGACAACCAAAGGCCCCAAAGGAGAAGTGAAAGGTTACACAGACCAATCTTTCCGGTTTTATGTTTCTACATGTCATGCTTGGCTCTTTTATGACCTCTTATCAGTGTCTTCTAGCAGATCTCAGATGTCAAGTAATCATTAAGACAATGTCTTTGTATCTCTCTTCTCTACTTTCTAGCAATGGGCTGGTGTTATGTTGGTCTCATGCTGGAGCGGACGGAGGAGTTCTCCACTGTGCCAATGTCAGTCCATGACTGTGGGTTCTCTGGATCTGACCCTTTGACATGTTACGGATCGGTACTGTATTTCAGCCCTGGAAAAATGTAGAATGTCATATTGTGGTCAAGCTAATAGATCAGATTCCAGTCTTGAGATTATTGGCACACATTTCCTCTGTAGCCACAACATGTATGGGTGTGACGTGTAACTTGTTTCTTGACGCAGGTGTTAGAAAGATGTGCTTAGGCTTATGTTTGATATGATTAAACATAGGCTGACAAATTGACATGCTGATGCATTAAAGCTAATAATACCATGTGAATAATAATGAAGTGTAAAAGGCTCTAAATGATTAGATTTGTTCTCACCGCTGATTTCCACAGGCCATTAAGCTCGCCATGGATGATGCATTCATACTCAACAGGCTAGCAAACGTGTTCTTCCTGTCAGGCAAACTGGAGATGGCCACAGGTATCTGTAACATGGCCCTGAGTGTCCTGCCTGATGCAGAACTCAACTGGCAGGCATACTGCATTCGCGCCAAGGTAAGCAAAATACTTGATTACCACGGTTTCTTTTTTTACATGTGCCTGTAGATGAATGCATTCACAGACATTGAATATGTTGCATTAGCGGTGTATTTGTTTATTTTTTATACCTAATACCTATCTTTGAATAACACCATAGGATAAACTAGTATGACAAAAACACCTGCTCCTGCAAAGACAAAGAAACACCCATTTTGTGACTCATGATAAAAAGTTGCCCCAAAATGTATGGACACTATGTGTGGGTTTTATTGCATCTAAAAAACAATTATGTTAGAACTTCTCCCTTTAATTGGCTGGAATGTTAGTGTATTACATGAGTTCACATTCATACAGAGCCCCTAAAGGGACATGGTGAGAGAAAAAAAAAAAAACATTTAAAAGCTTTGCTCAAAAATGTATTCCACTCGGTGTTCACTTGCAAAACTTTTGCGATGGAACTAAAATAAGGTGGAAATAAAAACTAAATTTCAGTGTATTTTCTAGCAAACAAATACTTTTTGCGAGAGAGTGCAAAAGATTTGTGAGCGAGCACAAAAGCATTGCAATACAACTTTCCTCCCATTTCATTTTTTTTTTTTTTTTTTTTAAGTCCCCTTAAAGGCTCTGTACATTTACACAGGTGTCCTTCCTAGCAGAGTTACTACAGGTGTAACATTTGACAAGCAGAGAATTAATTTTGAACAGTATCAATTGTTTTATTATCTAAAACAAACTCAAATAATTTTTGGTTCCAGTTGATTTTAATTTCTTCCCACAATTTTTTTTCTTTTCCTAATCTTGTTTTTAATAGTTTTAATGTTCCTCAAAATATGTATTCTTTGCCATCAAACTTTTTCTCCAGCTTGGTGTTACCATATATGCAAAAGATCTTGATAAAGCGAAGTGCGGCCAAGGTGGCATTCCTGACCGTCAGATTCTGAAAGAGGCCCGTGCTGACCTGGAACGTGTTCTGGCTGTGCGACCCTGCTTGAGGACTCATTTGGAGATGGGTCAGGTAGTTATGAGTGCATAAAACATACACTATGGTCAAAAGTTTGGAATAAGTCCCTTATGCTAAATAAGGCTTTATTATCTTTACTATCACTTTTTATCAATTTGATAAATAATACTTGATGAATAAAGTTTCTTGAGCAACAAATCACCATATTAGAACACATTTCACAGTATTACAATTTTTACTGCATCAAATAAATGCAGCCTTGTATATGTATATGGTTTAACTACTACTAATATAGTTAATAGTTTAAGAGCCTTCATCTCTCCCCTTCTCTCAGGTTTACTACTACATGGGTGTGGACGCCCTGCAGGAGAGCCTGTTGGTCGATGAGATGGCGATAAACCAGGCCCTGGTCAGTCTAGCTAGAGCTCTGCAGTGTCCTCTGGGCTCTACAATCTCTAAACTACAGCTCCTGCGGGGTCGCTGCCTGCTGCTGAAAGGAGAGGAGCAGAATGCCATTGACTGTTTTAGGAAAGCACTTGAACTGGAACCTCCCAGCATCCAAGACACGGCAGTCCTGCGCTGCATGCTACAGGCTATTCTAGTGAGCTTCACCCAGAGCGGGAACGACACAGGTCATGCTATTATCCAATTAGAGGAATGTTTAAAGCAGGCGGAAGAGCGATATGGAGCAAACGTTGTTCAGACTGAGTTGAAGGCTCTGTGCCGAGCACACACAGATGAGGTGACAGAGCTCTCAAAAGATCTGGTGAGGAAGGGGAGGTTGGAAGTGGTCAGAAAGTTGCTGAAGAGCATACAGCCACAAGGGAAAAGGTTCTCAATGGGAAGGTCCATGTCTATTTGAAAGAGTCTGTGGAACAATGGAAAGGGACTCCAGATAATGTTCTGATGGGCAATTATGTGATGTCCATGAGTTATGCATGTTAAGACAGGAATTAACAATAAAGCTACTCATTTCAAATAGAGGTATTCACTTTTGGTAATGCTGAGTGATGGACAAGGGAAATGTGTTCTAAAATTCTAAATGTATTACTATGGTGTTAAAGTCCAAAAAGTTGTTTTGGATTGTTGTCTTCATGGCATTTTTTTTCAAGAGCCAGTTAAACAAGAAATAAGTGTTTAAGCCTGGAGATGTACTATGGGGTTCACAAGCCTGAGACCACATTGAAAATCTGGGACTTTTTTTTTTTTTACATTTATAAAATAGGATTTTAAAAATAAAATAAAAACTTTTCATTAAAACATTGAATAAATACTGCACTATTTCTGGGTCACTAATAAAATAAGCAAATTTGTGAAATTGACCATGTGAACCTCTCAACATTCTCAAATCACGCTGGACAACACAAGTTTTACACAAATGTGTGGTTCATGTCAGCTAGAATGCTGCTGTCAATAACAAAAGCCTAATTTAAATTGTGCCAATATCTCTTGTAATAAAAAATGTCATTATAAATATCATAAAAGTACGGCTTATTGGAACCATATGGCAACTCAATTTCATCATGAATATATTTTTATTTAAATCACAGATTGTTTTATGTGGTTGAATTAAAGCTCAGTAAATGAGGTCTGCATTAAACAGTAAACAATAAATCAGTCCAGCACTGGTTATTAATGTTGTCTGAAAGGCTATAACATCTTTGAGTCTAGTTTATTTTATCATAACAGGAAGCTTTCTGAAAGCAATACTCCACCTAAAAATGACTTGTGTTGTCATTTATTTCAAAACCATATGACTCACCTTCTTCTGTGGTACATGAAAGATATTTTAAGAAATGTCTCATTGTTTTCTGTCAATATAAATGGAAGACAAAGGTCTCAAATGTTAATATTTTCTTGTGTTCCGCTGAAGAAATTAAGTCATACCAGTTTGGAACGACATGAGCAATGGTAAAAATGCAGAGTTAAATACTGCAATATCTAAAAATCATCTGTATTTTACACCTGTAATACATTTTATATTTCAAATTGCACATGAAATAAATTTTTCCCCCTCAAAAATGATTGGGGGTTGGGATGGTACATGCTTTTAAGGTGAATCATTGACGTTGCCGCAAAAGAAATCCACTTCAAAGTTCTGCCTCAATCTTTTTGAGTTTTCTCAAGGGGTGGGGTGAGCAGAAATGTCCTTAATAGCAGGAGGGTGATTTATAGTCAAGGCATTTAAAGTCTTTTAAGGTCCAAACAGAACATCATTTCAATCTCTGGACCTTTTTTTCTGATAAAAACTGCTTAGAGAATGGAGAGCCTGATACCAGCACAATGAAACTAGGTGTCCCTGCCTTCACAGAGCACCTGGAAAGAACAAAATATAGAGAGAAAAACATCAGAGCCCTATTCAAGCAGTGATAAAACTACTTAGAAGAAATTCCTCTGAAATACCTTTGGTGCTGAAGAATGTTAAGAAGTGACTTTTCAAGATCAACTTGATAAAGGTTTCCTTTTTCAGGATTCTCAAGAAACAGCTGGAAAAAAAAAACTGAGGTTACAAAAAAAAATCTTTTGGAATCTTGGAATCACATTTAATTTAAATTCTAGCATCAGAGGATGGGTATGGATCAAAAAGGTGTCCACCAGTGGTGTTCTTTTTGTCTCTTTGTAGATTTCTTTGTATACCGACCTGTAGATTTTGAGGCTGATATTTTCTTTCTGAATCCCAGGGGGGAAGCTCTTCACCAAACATAACTGCCAAATGGTCCATGAAGCTGAACAACACAAAATTAGTGATTATAAAAATCAAATCTATATGCAGATTTTCAATTTAAAGAATAAATCAAATTCCAGAAGCAATTTAATATTTAGGCCTCCCTTCCTAATAAAGGATACACATTTTGATAATGACTTTTTAACAAACCTGGAGTTCTCGCAGAAAGCAGATATGAAGTCCGTCTGGCTGTGCTCAGGGTAGAGGAACAGCACTGGCCAGTGAAGGACTCCCTGCTCATCCATATAAACACGAGCTCCTGTGGCCTCCTGCGAGCCGATTCCCTCAAGCTCCAGATCAGCCAGGGCTCTTGATGCACCTCCATCACCATCATCATCCTCTCTGTCCGAACCCCTGTTTTGAGAGGGTTTGGTCTTTAGAAGTTTAATGCCACGCTCCTAAGTAAAAAACAGCCATTAAAGATTTTACTCTTTTAAAACTCGGTTTAAAAAAATACTTTTATAATTATACTTTGCATCTTCAGTACCTTAATGGCAGCTAACAATGCTTCTTTCTCATTCTGCTCCTTCTTCGCTTTAACCTTTGCCTTTCTGGCATCTCTGTCAGCTTCCCTCTACAATACAAATACAAACACAGGAGCACACACAGCAAAAAACAAATGAGATTGAAATAAAACAAAAATGTAGACAGTTGCATAGTGAAAGAATAAGTAAATTTGCAAATAATAAGATGGCAATTTACAATTACAAATAAAATGAAGAGTTTAATTATAATAACTGGAATTTAATATTAACATGTTTACATTACAATCACTTTATCACATTAATTCTGTAAATTCTTAAATGCTTTAAAGGAATAGTTCACCCAAAAATTAAAAATTGCTTAAATTTTACTCACCCTCAGGCCATCTTAGATGGCTTGAGGAGTTTGTTTCTTTATTGGAACAGATTTGGATAAATCAGCATTACATCTCTTACCAATGGATCCTCTGCAGTGAATGGGTGCCGTCAGAATGAGAGTCTAAACAGGTGATAAAAGCATCACAATAATCGAAAAGTAATCCACACAACTCCAGCCCATCAATTTATGGCTTGTAAAGTGAAAAGTTGCGTGTTTGCAATAAACAAGTCCATCCTTAAGACGTTTTTTAATTTCAAACTGTTTCGACTATCCATAATATTGCCTTCTCCAGTGAAAAAATTGTCTTGTCTGAATCAGGAGAGAAATATGCCCAAATCAAGCACTGTTTGCAAGCGAAACAAAACAGTTCTAAACAAATATGTCAGTGGATTTTGATGTGAGAGGATAACAGGGGATGGACTTTTTCACTGGAGGAAGTGTTATTATGGGTTATGAACTGATATGTTGGCCAGAAGATACGGTTTAAAATAAAAATTAAAAATATTTTTTTTAATACAAACACAGCTTTAGACTTCACAAGATTGATACACTGTGGTGTGGATTACTTGTGGCTTATTGTGATGTTTTTATCAGCCGTTTGGACTCATTCTGACGGCACCCATTCACTGCAGATCACCAGATCAACTGGTGGATGTAATGCTATATTTCTCCAAACGTGTTCTGATGAAGAAACAAACTCATCTACATCTCGGATGGCCTGAGGGGGACTACATTTTCAGCAAATTTTCATTTTGGGGTGACCCATTCTGGATTTAAAGGATTAGTTCACCCAAAACAACATCTTCCTGTCAGGCCTTTCTACCTTCTGTTTATCTGCTGTGGCTCTCAGCTCCTGTAGTTTGTTGTCGGTGGGAAGCAGCCTGAGACCTTCATCACACCATTGCAATGCTCCTGCATAATTATGCAGCTCAATTGAGCACTGTGCACCTAAATACACACACACACAAAAATTACACAGATATATATACATATGTAGTTTGTACATATTTATTTTCTGTACAAAAAACAATTGTTTTCTAAGAACTATAGACACAACTCACCTCTGATTATGGCTTTAATGTGGTCTGGCTTCAGTTTCTTTGCAGCTGTGGCATCATTCAAAGCCGAACGCATATTTCCTGGAGGAAATAGTTAATTGCATACATCAAAAAGGAAAAACTTAATTATTCTTTCTGAGACATTTGCAAGGCAACTTTAACATAGACCTGTGTGTGTTTGGGGAATAGTGACTGTACCTAAATGGAAATGTGCAGCTGCACGGTTTGTGTACAAAATCGCATTGAGTTCAATATCCATACAGTTCTTTTTCAGTCCTTCTGTGTAAGACACTACAGCTTTCTTATAATTCTTCTCCTTAAAGTACTCATTCCCCTCATCCTTTAGGCCTCTGACTTTCTCTGAAGAAAAAGAAAAGGTTCAGTTGTAATGTATTCAATTGTCATTTGAGGGAGGTACGTTGCTTACATGAAGAAACAATCAAAACAACGAGAATGTAAGAAATAAAGTGCTCCGCACACCTTCAGGTGTTCGGTCATCATCATGGATAATGGACTGAATGCAGGCGAGATCAGGGTGTTTCTCTGGGTCTATGTTTTCTGGGGCTGTCTTCATAAACATGGGCACCTTATTAAACTCCTGCAAGATATACTGTATACTGTTCTGTATTATATCCCACGTAAATTAATGGGGTACTGCATGTATCTTAAAACGTTACAGTGTGCAATGAGTATCCGCTATTAGGAGCTAAACAAAAAAACTCCAAAATAACAATTGTGAAAAAACTGTAGCAAAGAACCACATGGCCTTAGCAAGCAGCTGTTCCTGTGCTGCTTGACAGACACACGTGAGAGACGCATTACTGCCACCAGCTGGTCTGGAGTAAAACAAACAGCTACTTTATGTCTGATGATAAAGTCAATGATACCAAGGATAATGATGTCTTTCAAGGAAATTAAAATACTTTGTAATTAAGAAGGTATAAATTCAAGTGTTGATCAAATATTTAATTGACCATGTATTTAAATCAAATTGAAATCAATCTTAGCAAGGCATGGTATATTGGCCTCTGCACCAGATGTACATGTCAGAATTCCTGTTCTGAGAGTTAAAATGAGAAAACTCTCCCAGATAAAAATGAAAATTTCCCTCACAAAAATAAAGAAGGTAATGGAAATATCAGTAAAATGTCCTATCAAAAGGAATCATTTGAGAACTTTTGGCCATTTTTATTAAGTGCTCATACTGATTTGAAAATCAGTATCATCTGTGATGAAGAGGAAATGGGAAATGTACAGTATGTTTTTACGCTACAAACCCCAGCCATATTTAAATCACATCAGTGATGCCAACTAAACGATTTTGTTGCTGTATAT